AGAAAAGATAAGAGTGGGAGAAGTAAAGTATAGAGACAGAAAAGAGAGAGACAAGAGCGTCTCTTACACCTGAGTGGACCAGAGGACGCACTCCGACAAACAGCTGAAAGAAAATGAATTTAGAATCTAACCAGCCAATCAAGTTCATGCCTTTTCAAAAACATGTGGACAACAACAGCACTATGGTAAACTTTGGCTAAACTCAGACTCGGACAAACACATTTACTTCCTGCATCTCTGGCTCAGCCTGTCATCAGCTTTACCTCCACCTCCGCCTTAACCTGTTTATCTATAGACACACAAAGGAGGAGAGCAACTCCCCTCCTCCTCCATCTCTCTCTTATTTTCCTACCCTCTCTGCTGCCGGTGGGCGTCCCCGGCCTCCCGCCGGGCCAATCAGATGAGTGTTGATGCGACTCTGTTGTCTGTCTGTCCCCCACTGCTCGCAGATAGGTCGGCGTGCCGCAGAGCCGCCAAACACACAGACACCTCACACTGAGGACGCCTACGCCAGCCCAGACAGCACACACAATGGGATCACATGATGAGGAGGACACTTATCTAACTGATGGGCTGTTCCTCGGTCAGTGTTTCCTTAGCTTGCTTGGGTTTTCAGGAAATTTCAATGCAATTCAGGAACCATATCCCACACAGCACAATCAGGAACTTCTGCTTCTGTATTTTCCCTCTGTCGGCCTCATAAAGATTCAGGAAACAAACTGCATATTTACGTGATGTGGACACAAATTAAGGGAGGATTGGGTCCAACACTACAAATGATGCGGAGGTCAGGGTCAAAACAGCAATGTCTAGACGGTGAAAAGGTGGAGAACAAATAAAATTGTCATGTCCAACAGCAAAGGTGGCGTGAAGAAACAAGGAAAAGTAGAGGTCTGATCCAGGGGGAGGGTTAGGACAAGAAGTGCTCTGATCGAAACAAATGCTGCCTATTGTAAAGCAAATAAAGTTTGCTTTACAAAGTGCAATTCAACTTGTGAGTCTAAACGTTTAGGACTGGGTTTACTTTGCCCAAACCAGTTATGTCAAGGTTGTTCTGAGTCAACCCAGAAGCAGTTACACAAGTATTTTTCATCGTGTTCAAAGAACTACATCCATGTCTCTGTAGAAACCGTGTACTGGGACCATGAATCACACAGTGTAAGAAACTGACTGAATGTATGACTTCCTAACTAAAAGAGGACGGGCTGTTCAGTTCATTTTTACAATCACACATCTCCGTCGTGAAAAGATGATGATGATGTGACAGTGACAATCTGTTCAGCAGCTGGACTGAGTTCCAGTTTGTCCAGTTTGTGTCTGGTCTCCAGCAGAAAACCCTGGTTTGAAGAGGAATCTGGGAGAAAACAAATATCTGCATCCATCCTGATCCATTCTGCAGTTCCTCTACCATAAATAGAATATTTGACTTATGAGATTCTATTACATTCTACTCACTTCTTCTCTGCTCTAATCAAATGTACTCGACTGCAACAACAAACACAACTGAGCTCCTGGACAGATATAAATTCTGCTCTGCTCCTGGGTTTGATTCATTTCTGCCCCAGCAGTGATCTTTCCACAGTTTCTCTTCCCTGGACAGCTGCTTTTTCATTCTATTTTATTCTACTGGTTGTATGCAGTAGACTCCGTCTCTGTGGAGAGACAAAGTCATCCTCCACACCGAGACTCTTCTTCTCCTCTTTTCACTTCCTCATTTAGGCAGCTCATCTATCGCTATGATTACATGCTGCTAATTAAGCAGCTAATCAGCTAATTACCCAGGAGCAGAGAGGAGCAGGGAAAGTGTGTGTGGGTGTATTACAAGGTGTCATGTGTGAGACAGCAAAGCCTAATTCCTGATAGTTTTTATGTGTTTGGTTTTTATTTCAGGATTTGGGGATTTTTGGTGACAGTTTACTGTTAATACTAAGTTGTGAACATTTATTTTCATATTCCTTTGGAGTTAAATATCTGACAGCAACCGTCTTGTCAGCTCAGACACTTTTATAACCTGAGTTATTTGAATTACAGCGGAGCCATGGGGGCTTAAGCCCCCCCCATAAGAGACCTGAGCTCCTCCAGAAGCAACACAGTCTCGAGGGGGGTCTCAAAACCTGATAAATAATAATTAACATTTCTAATTCTACAGTGGTAATTTGAATGTTCATGTGCAGCTCTGCTGGGGTCATTAACACCTGTAACATGACTGCATGGAACATGTGTGTGGAATTTTCTCTTTCTCTGTTTCCTGTGTGGGATGGTGTGTGGAGTTGGTGTCAGAGACTGGCGACTGAGACTCACCTGCTGACAGCACATTCACTTCAGCAGCCTGTCTCATCTCATCAACACCCTCCCATAATGATATTTCCATACGATGATGAAACAAACAAGCTGTGAAACTAAAAGAGACCCCCCCCAGCTGAAAATGTGAATGCCAGGGGGGTCTGGATGATGCAGGGGAAGGCTGACAGGACCCTGAACGTGCTGGGGATTACAAACTTCATGTCTGCTCAGCCTGTGCCACCAGGGTTTGTGCAATGTTTCCAGAAGCACCCGACCAATCAGAGACACCGCTGTTAAAGGGGAAGCCATTTGTTGCTTGTGGCTGGTACCTGGAGCAGTGGCACCCCATGCTGGTGTACTGCCAGACATCACGGCTGTTTTCTCAGATTTTATTGTGATGTGTTATAATAATTACATATCACTGGAAAATCCAAATGTACCACAAACACTGCCATAAAGAAAAACAACGAATCATAAAAACTAACAATTCTCTTGGACGTTGTGAATGAAGGCCTAAATGAATAGTTATTAATAGAGACTCAGAATCAGAGTAAAGTCAGAGAAAAGGATGAAAACGAGGCTTGTTAGTGATGAACACAACAGTTAAAGTGGACGGTGGTGACGCTCTGCTAACTGCTAAATGCTGTATGATGTTCTGGGTCATCATTACAAACACTGTACCAACAGGTTTTATTTAAACTCATAGAACTTGGTTTTAAATCCTTCCATCCATTGACAGCGCTGACATTTCATCAGTCAAATCAACACTTATTATGAATATTAATGTGAGCGACTGATTTCAATTTGACGAGAGAGAGGGCACAATTCAATGTGGGATCAGACCTTCTGGGTCACTGATCCCCAGTTCCAAGGACGTCCTTTCACACGTACACACCTTTAAATCACAGTATCTCGACCATCCTCACTGATAATCTTATTGCAGCAGCTAACATCAGATAAGACACACACACACACACACACACACTGGACATCACCGATCGCCGAAGGAGAACTGGGACGTTACAGCAGCAACGTAAAATGTTGGTGGGAGAGTAAAAGGTAATCATGACTCCAATAAAGGAGAGACAGTGAAATAAAACCGAATAAAGCAAAACAATTAAAAATAACAGCAGAGCTTCTTTATAGTGCTAATTAAATGAGCAGCCATGAGGAGAACAAATCCCCAGAGCTATTGACATTTCACCATATTCGATATGACAGATATGACTGATTAGTCCACCGGGCAGCCTCCTCAATAATCCGCCTGCCAATCCAACGTGAACTTTAGACGAGAGGTGATGAATCACGGGACGATCCGATACCGGCCTCCCAATCCATCAGCACAGCAGTGAGGGGAGAGGGGCGGCGCTGTTGTGACTCTGGTTCGACTTGTCAGAATCAAAGTGATACAAAAGATTAAAACCAGACAGATTTGTCTGTGGTTTGGCTGCAGAAACATGATAGTGACAGAGCAGCTAAAACGCCGAATGTACGTTGTGAATAATGTACTTTTTGATGGCCATAACGAAGGTCTGGTGCTGCGTGAGGCAGCGGTTCAAACACAAAGTATTCAGAAGGCATTGGGTACAGTAGGCAGTCAGAACTTGCCAGTTGAGGCTCAGTTAGAAGACACAGCCAAGCCAATCGGACCAGGATTATCAGTGGGGGCATCTGCGCCTGAGCCAGAACCCAGTCCCAACACGTGCGTGTGAGACCAACGCAGCTAAACTGATTCTGGTCAATCTTCTTAGAGAAACAACTCTTAAAGCAACATATTTCTGCATGTGACGAGCATTAAGTTAATCACTCCTGGAAACAGCAGCTTCTGTTTTAACTAAAAATGGCAATGAAACACATACTGTGCACCAGTGACTTTGGGGAAAACAGGCCTCAATCCCAAACAAAAAATAGCAAATACAGTATGAACAAAGTGTCAGTCTGAATAATAAAAAAATGAAATGGAAAACACCTCCTATTGTCTGGCTGTTAGGACTTGTATGTTTATACGCTATTGAGTTAATTTTGCATAGCATCTCAGTGTACTTTACTAAAACATAAGTAAAAATCTCACAATCTGTTGCATCATCAACAAACACAGGGAATAAGAACCAGAATGAATAATGAAGATGAAAACAGAAAAAGGAGACTGAAACAGCAAAATTCAGTAAAAATGCAGAAAACTAACTAAAATAAGCCTCTGATTTTACAATATTACAAATATCTAACAGTTTTGTGACAATTACCACTATGAAAGAGCTTTATTACAGTTACCGGCGTCTGAAGATTCACTGAAATGATGTCCTTCAACTGGAAGAAGAATCCCTACAAAGCTTAGCAAGCTACTGATATCACCACTTTAAAAACGTTTTGAGATTTCCTTATCAAAGATATGTAAATGGAGCACACCCTTTCAGCTGCATCTAAAACAACAATATGACCAATTATTCATATTGAACAAGTACACAGAGACTGAGTGAGCAGAGCTGAACTTTCACATTTCGGTTCCCTGCAACATTTTTCTGCATAAGTGTGCTCGCTGGCCTGAAATGAAAACATCCCCCAGTCATCTTATTATTACACTTTGATAAAATAAAGCTCACCTTTAGGGAAAACATGCAAACCACCTCGAGTGCCGGGTTTTCCTGATTCTTGCATGAGAGCAGGAGTAAAGAAATGAGAGAAGCATATTAAAGCTAAAGCAGACAAACTGCCCATACCTCTATCTTCTTCCAGATATCTTTGTCTTTGTCCTGACTCTGAATGTCCTCTAGCAGCTTCTGCACAAGACACGCGCCTCCATGTCCGTCCACCGGGGGTGCTGTCACCACCACGTGCTGCTCTGCAGACGTCCGTCCCTCATCCTCTTCAGACTGTAGGTCGCTTAGCAGGCCAGACTCGATGCTTTCATCCAGTGAGGGCGCAATATCACTGGAGGAGGTGGGGCTACGGTGGCTGAGCAGGGTTTGTGTGTAAGGAAGCTGCGGGAAGGTGGGTGACAAAACGTCATGGGGAAATATTTTGGAACAACATATGTTGTGTGAAAGGATAAAACAGGCTGTTATATACCAGCGGTGGCAGAGAAGACATGTCATCCCCGCCTTCCCCCGCAGTGCTCAAGTTGTCTCCACTCTCCCCTGTGTCCCAGTCTGGGTTGAGCTCTGTCAAATCCCAGTCATCCACATCCTGAAGAGCCTCCTCGCCAGAGTCACCAGGCCTCTGGAGCACAAAGTTTTAACAAAGACATCAGCAGTCAGAGACTTATCATTATATTAATGTGCAAAACTGAATATGGTGTTAACTCGCTGGAAAGTTCCACACATGGTCAGGTAGAAAAAAGTAGAAAGGCAGGACAAAGAACCACACTGCCGACTAACCAGTGGGATGGACTGAGCCAGACTCTCCAGTTTTAGAGCGAGCATCTCCGTCTTATGGAGCTGGGCGGGGAGAGCCAGGAACTCTTCTGACCCGTACCAGTGCTCCCTGTGTGTGCTGGCCTCTGATGAAACCTGAGCAGGAGAACAGAGAGCGTACACAGTTCACAAGTGGTTATCTGATATAAACTGAATAAAAACATACTGCATGAGGAAAGTGGCTACAGAAAAGTAAGAATAAGGACTGGTGCTAAAAAGACATGCTTGCTTCATGCATCATATTGTCACTGGGTCAAATGACACCAGGAGTGTAAAAACTAACAGATACAATCGGGAAAATCAACACAAGATTCAGAGAAATGGTTACATCAGTTCACACAACAGATTTAAAATAACTTTATCATTTCAGTAAACCTGGTGTGGCCACACTCTCTCCTGCTGTCTGAAATCACATATGTCCATCCACTCATTTACAAACACATAACCTCTCCAAACTCCTCTGCTCACCTTCTGCCCCTGGTGCTTCACAATCCACACTGCCATCTTGCCAGGAGGCGGTCGAGGGTCCGACTCCTCTCCAGATGCCTCCACATCTGAGAAGAGGAGCTGCTCCCTCATGGGGGAAGGCAACGGGGAGTCAGAATCCCCCTCGCTGTATGCATTTCTCTCATGCGGTGTCCCATTTTTTTGTTTTGACATTTCATCCTGAGACAGTGGGTCCAGGAGAGGTAGGGGGGCGTTGGCGTTCAGTCCAGCCCCAGATGGGCTCCTCTGGTTGGTCAGTGCCTCTGAGCATCCTCCCTGTCTGGAGCTCACATGGTTTCTCTGGAGGCCTCTCCTGTTCATGACCTGTTTAGTTAAAGTGGTAAATGTGAGTCTGTTTTACAGGACAAACACAGTAGAGGAAGAAATAAAGGTGGAACTGAACACCAAACCTAACAACCTAACACTCCTTCTGTAAGGACGAGCCAAGTGGTGGAGGACTACATGGTGGTAGCACATCTTCATCAGACAAAAGCAGCACAGTTTGGGTTGAACGGTGTATAAAAAAAACTTTCAAAAGATCATATGGAAACTTAGGAAACTGCACACTGACTTGAGGCTGAGGAGCTAACCCATGGTTTCAGTCAGGAAAGCCCTCCTTTCAGAAGGAAAGCATTTTTTAATCAATTAAACAGAACAACTTCTAGGTAAAATTGCCCTCCTTGTACTAAAACAGATACATATACAAAAACAACAACTGCTATAGCCCCCCTCTGTAGCCTGGAGCACTTGGTACAACCCGAGTTTCCACCTTTGATAAACACAGTTGGATTCTCCCACTTCCTGTTCGGCAGTCAGCCCTGTACCTGCAGGTAACAGGAGCAAACACTTGCTAACTGTTATTTAATCTATCGGTCAATAAATCTCAATCTCAATGCATTGCAATGCTCAACTGGAGCCAATTCTACTATAAGCTAAGGCTCCAGTAAGTGCTATGAAATGTCATATATAAAGTATCAGGGGGTTCAACTGGTCTCTGCTGGAGTGAGCAGGTAGCATCCAACTGTTTGTGTTTCACTCTGGTCAAATGTTTGTTAATGGCCTGTTCTGTTTGGAAAAATAAAAGACAATTACAAATCCAAGAGAGACAAACCTGCAGGTTCTCGCAGGACTGTGAAACGTTTTCTGGATAAACAGAGTCCAGCTCCAACCAGAACTTGGAGCGGTCTGGAGGATCCATGAGCGAGGGGGTGCTTCGGCTCAGCTCGGCCTGGGACTGCTGCGCAGTGAGTGGGCTGACCTTCTGGAGGCCTCCCCTCGAGTCCTCCACCCAGGCTCCTCTGTCTGAGAGCAGAGCAGCTCTCTTAGGAAGCGACGGCTGTGTGGGTGACACCTCGGTGCTTTGGCTCACACCCTGCAGAAGGCGCTTCACACTTTCTTTGTGACTGGACGTGCCACATTGCATTGTGGGTAAAACTGATGGAGAACTATTATAGTTAGTTGCGTCACCAGGCGTAGTGAGTTCAGGTAGACTGTTATGAAGTTTGTGGTTTGACAGGCAGGGTCCTTCACTCTCCACTGAAGCCGCTTCTGAATCTGGGCCTTGGGCTCGGTCAAGTGTCGGCGTCTGGGGGGGGTCCTCGTGGTCTGGCTCTGTTACTCGAGCCTCAGGCTCATCACTGGGGCTGTAGTCACTCAGCTCAAAGGCGGTGATGCCACAGTCTAAAGAGAAGTAGTCCTGGCTGCAGCGAATGGTCAGCTGACCACAGTCATCCACCTCCGTCAGGGCGTCCAGACGAGTCTGGAGAGAAGGAATTCATCACTTTAATACGGGGCGTTTTTCTGACCAGTGACAATGAGGCGGTTTCGTCAGAAGTTTGATCATTCCATCAGTTGTGATTAAAAGACATGAAGTGGTTCTTTTACCACTGGAGTGCACCCACTTCCCTTGTTTTGGGGAAATAAACGCTCAAGGTTCATGGCAGCTACAGATAAATACAGAGAGAGAGTTTTTTATGGGTGTGTGCTGTTACCTGGTGCTGGTCCTGGCTGAAGGCCTGCAGGATGTCAGTCTGGCGGGTGTAGTTTCCGTTGGAGTCCTGCAGGCCCTGCAGCAGACGCTCCTTCAGGACCAGAACTGAGACTCTCAGCTGGTGCCACAGCAGCTGCACCGCCCTGAACCACACAGGACACAACACCACCGCCTTTTATTGACAGCTCGTCCACATAATCATCTAATAATAATGAATAAATCAGATATTAACCCTGATTGATGTGGAACAGAAATAAAGAATTGTGTGCAGTTTAACAGATCTCCAGTCTCAAAGGTACTTTTACTTTATAATATGGCGCAGTATTTTCTGCATTTCATCTTTTTTATTGCAGAAAGATATTAGCTTCCCATATTTATGAGTGCACTGATTACATGTTTAACTGCATTCACAGTCTTGTTGTTTCCTTCTTGGTGTGACAACAAAGGTGCATTCAAATCATCTAAACATACAGTACGACTAGAAATTTAAAATGTCCCATTCTTATGGTGGTGATAATGCAGAGAAGTTAACAGGTGAATATTTTATTAATACACCAAAGAATAAATCCATATCGCCTCGTGTTTGTTTTAGAGCATTTTCTGTTGAAGTGAAGGAGACTCAAAGAGCCTCATTACACAGAAAACAGTCAAACAAGCAACAATTTACTTGAAACAAAAACCGTTAAGGCACCACAGGAGACAGGCCCCGTCCTGATAAGCACCATTCAAGACTGGAAGTGTCTACTCTCATCATGCCGCGACTCACCTGATGTCAACAATGATGTTGACAGAGTAGGAGAGCAGTTTCAGGGAGAACTCTGTCTCCAGCAGGGCGTGAATCTGCTCCACATGGTCCGAGATGTCCTCGCAGATGTCCTGAAGTCGCAGACATGAAAACAGAAGAGAAACATTACAAAAGTGATAACATGCCACAAAACAGTGAGTAAACAAACACAGTAAAAAGCCCCACCGGATCCCAGTTACACCAGTATGTATAACAGTGTAAATCTACAGGAGCCAGTAGAGAACAACAACTGCAGCAGGAAAAGCAGAAGTGATGAAGATGTGCGACACCACATTTCCAGTTTTAAACATGAGTCAGTTTCATGTGGGATGAGTTCCAGGTTTATATGTAAAAACACAACGAGCACGTTCTGCCTGTCGGGGCTCAGCGCCGTCTCCACAGCACACCCAACACCGGCTGCATCAGATATTGCTGAACTAAATTCAGATGCTGTAAAACTGCAGAGACAGACAGATGGACTCCAACGGGAAAGCACCGAGCAAAAATATCAGCTCTGACTTTAAGAAACGTGTAAGATGCAGGCTGCTTCTCCCTGCTAGAGAAGGGTTAATACAACACACATTAAGTTAAGACAGAAGAAGAACTATGACTTCCAGTATAAGCATTTCATTTGAAGTGCTGATCATAAGGAGGAGAGGACTATCATGAGCTTTACATGTGTTGTTAGATTCAGATTTCCAGTGTCTATGCTAACCTAGCTTAACCACATTCACCTTCATGCCTGTGTTCCAAAAATGGAAAGCAGTTCCCAAAACGTGGTTAAACAAACACAACAAACTTGAACTTCAACCTGTACTACACAGTTTTAAATGTCAGGGTTTACGATGCTCTCACTATCTGTTATTTTAGAACTTTAGAACACAACTACTCCTGATAAATGTTGTCGTTGCTGCCGTTTGTCTGAAATTTGTTTTGGTGCCTAACAGTGACAACAAACATGGGGCAGCAGACTAGTGAGCAGAAAGTTCACCCTGTGCACCTTTACATCACACATGAATGTCACACCTGGGCATCACAATAAATACCAAGTTAAATATTAACACAGGGTTTGTTGTATTAACGTCTCGTTTCACTCACATGTTGCTGCTATGCAAATAAACTGAACTAAGTCAAGCTAAAATTAGACGACCTTTAAAGAAAGCAGGTGACCCAGCTTCAGACCCTTGACAGATACTTTACATCCACCTCGGGACACTGAGTCACCGGCTCCTCCATGGCCACCTGCCTGACAACACAACCCCTCCCGCCCGGCATGCGAGAATGTAGGTCACACACGCTGCCAGCCTGGCTCATGCTAGCTTGGCTAACGCCATGACCTGCTGAGCACTGTTCCAAAATAAACCTGTCACTACTGTAAGTGGGGCTGCAGCTGCCTGCTGCCTGCACAACCACTGCAGAGCTTCTCACAACACCTGTGTGAGTGCAGAGCTGGACTAACTGTTTTGCCTCCCTCCACTGTGCTCTGGCTCAGGCTGACCCTGGACCATACGCGTCAGAGAGATTTGGCTAGCTTTGAGCCAGTCTACATCTGGCATGAGCGCAGAAACCAGATGTGCTGTATTTAGGATTCTGGCTACCTCTGTGGGTAGCCGACCAAACATGGGCCGACAGCACCAAACAGCAGACAGACAATGTTAAAAACTGGCTTGGAAAAACGTGGAACATCCAGCAGGTAAAGGGCCAGATGTTATTGTGAGGAGTTGGTGAAGATCAAGCTGAGCTAAAAGGAGCAAGAGCATTAGATTTCCAATCATCAGATGAACACACAGCTCCATATTCAAGTGTATATGACTGTGTTTGTTGGATGTGCAAAGCTGCTTTTCTGCTACAGGAAATTACTGCATTACTGCCCTGTAACCTGGAGGTTCCCCACTACAGGAAATTACTGCCCTGTAACCTGGAGGTTCCCAGAACCTGAACCTGTACGGCAAAGGTGGTCAGATCTGCCTTGATTTCCACTGTATTTCACAAACTGGGAAGAATCGGACACTGAAAACACTTCAGACATGTTATTAATAATGTAACAACGAGACAAAGGTTGCCATTTCTCTATTTGGTGCTTGCTGAAATTTAGCTCCTGGAGCAAAAGCAGAACCTGGTGAAAACCGGTACAAGTTCAGTTACAGGTCAGGAAGTTCCTGCAGTGGTCTACAACTAGTCCCTGTGGTAAAGAAATGAAAGTGAAAGCAAGGCCATTCACCCATTGTGTATTGTGCTTTGATCTGTCCCAGCAGAGCAGTTAACATCCACTAGCGTCCCTGGAGACACCGAGAACTCGTCACGTCTTCCTTCATTAAGACATCTGTAGTAAAGCTGAGCTTCGTGCAAAGCTTTTACCTCACAAATAAAGTCACAACTGACAGGACAACGCTGCTTCATCAGAGCTGCCCCGCTGGGATCAAGAACAGTCCCAAGAGGATGTGCACGCACACACCTAATAGACAAAACTGTGCACACACATACACAGCTTAAAGACATACACATGCTGACTAGGCACTGCATTGGTTTTGCTTGATGTGAAAAATGGTCACATTGTAAAAATCAAGTTATCACCAGGTGAACAAACGGTTCGTTCTCATCAAACACAAAGTGTAAATGACAGATGGCAGCACATTAGTTGTCCTGAGTCACAACTCCTGTGAACTGCTCTGTTAATAGTTGCACTAGAAACAACCAGTCAGTGTTTAGACACACTTTCCCACTCGTGTCACTGGCAAAGTGCATCTAACCCATTGACTCGTAGCGCATGTGTCCTCCGACTCCGGGTGTCTCCTGGTTTCAGGTGGCTGCCGACAGATATCCAGACTCACAAACAGCAGGAGAAGCTGAACTGGCGTGCAGACTCTTCTGCTCCATCTGAGCTCAAACTGATGATCACAGCTGAAGTCTGTGTTTACTTTATGCATCTGGTACAGACAGCCCACGGCCAAGTGACACAACCTGCGGCCTTTTTTATTATTGCTCAACTATCTTGCACATGAAGGTCTAAAAATATGCAACTTTCAGACAAGTTTTAATCTTCCTGCAAAACTGCAGGAACACACATCAAGACAATAACAAGGGGACAAAGTCAACACACAGAATCCTGAACGTTTCACACTCGTAGAGGCAAAAAGCTGAGAAGACAATGAGGCCGCGAGGAGCATTTTTAACACTTTCACGTTCAATTTGACTCGTGGTTGATTCCCTTTAAAGGGCTCTGCTGCCCCGAGCATGTGTCTTTATACAGTATACAAGCTTACTAGCACTGAATTTCTGCCTGTGTGTGCGTGAAAGTACACGTTTACTTCATTTATAAGGCATACTTGGAATCACACATTTCTATAACACATTTCTGCACCCCAGTCACGGAGGGTTGGGACACGACCGGTCAGTTGCAGAGTGCAAACATCCAGCGCAGCTTCTAATTGCCTAAAACCAATGTGAAGCAAGTCGACCTGGGCTTCGGCTCCAATCTCAGCTCAGCCTCATCACCGCGGACATCAAGGGATTCAGAGAGGCCGCGTTGAAACCGCCTGTGACAGCTCAGCCTCATCCACGCACCCTTTCGATCTAATAACCTTCAGCTCCACCACTTCAGCAGCGTTTCACCTTGGACATCAAATACTCTGAGCTCCTTCTCCTTGTGGAGTATTCAAATGAAGTGGCTTCAAAGATGAACGAGACCCACTGCTGTGATACAAAGACTTTTTACAGTAATGAGTTCAAACTGGTAGCTTCTATGAAAATACTCCAAACTGTGCCTGCTTGTCTGACAGTGTGTTCACGGCCGGCGTGTTCAGGGACAGTGATCTGAATAACCTCAGCTTGGAGAGGAGAAGGACACCAAAACAAACACGGAGGAAACCAAACTAAAACAAAGAACCAAAAGGCAAATGGCTCCTTTTATGATATTACTATTTTAAGAACATTTCCAGGATTGACAACAGATCTAAATTTCTAGGTCTATGTTCTAATTTCCTGTGCAGTCCAGCTTTTATTGCAAAGGCTACTGCATCATTCAATCACTTTTATGGACCTGCCAAGAATAGCCACCCTACTACTAAGCACGGGGATGTTAGCAGACGCCTACTGCGTGCAAACATGACATGAGGGTCACCTGTATCTGCAGGGTTTTCCATTTTGTAAACTATGTTTGCAGCAAAGTTTTGTGGGATCGTAAATGTCATGTTCTGAATATAAGTGATGCATTACCTGTTGCAGAAAGCAAAACAAGCTCAAAGTCTGTTTCTTTGTGACTTCAGTATCACAAAACCTAACTTTTTTTTTTTAATAACAACTCACTTAACTTGGTAACAAATATCATTTCCTTACCAAAACATCCTCCACTGGCACTGATGTTTAACTTACAAGTTTCTAAAAATGATCATATGAGAAACCCCTGACAAAGCTCACAGACCAAATCTTCATTTGGAAACGCTGCCAAACTGTGTTTGTGCAGCCGTGTAATCAGCCACCCTTTGACTTTTGCCTTCTTCATTTAGGCGACAGTGAGCGTCTAAACAGCCACCACTCAGCAGGGCAGAGAACAGCTCAGCTCCTTACCTTCCCACACTGTCTGACGGTCTGTTTTCAGTTCGCTAATTCAGAAATCTCAATCCATCGTGCACAAAAATGTCCCTCAGGTGTGAACACTGTAAAAACAGTCAGAAAGTTAAAGACTGTCTGCAGTTAGAGCAGCTTGAGGTTTCTCTGTCCAAGCACCAAACACACTGTGTGAGAAAGGAATGCACATATGTGTTTGTGTGTGTGTGTGTTGGTGACCTGCTTCTTGTGTGGGGGTGTTAGGGAGAAGCGGGGGTGACAACAGTTGGGGAGGCTATTTTCAGACCAGCCTCACACGCCCCTCTCAACACACACACACACACACACAGATTGCAGCTGCTTAGATGTTTAGAAAACTAAACATGCACTTTTCACCAACAACCTTCTGAAGATGCACATCTGTGACCGTCAAACACTGATCCAGGTGTTTTCACTGTGAAGCCCCTTTCAGAGAATCTCATGGTGATTTAACATCCAAGTCTCATGTCTGAACAAAAGCCTGTGTTACTTTTAGTGACTTTCACTC